CTAAACCCTGAACCCTAAACCGCAGAGGGTCCAGGCCCGAGGCCCCAAAGCCACAGCTCCTCCTCGGCGGAGGATCGGCTGTAAGCTTCGCGGCTTTGGCAACTGTCCTGTGGCTGCCACGGTTTAGGGTTTAGGGTTTAGGGTTACGACGTGTAAAGTTTAGGATGGTTCAGGGTTCAGCAGACTCTGGGTTCAAAACGTTCGAAAAGGATGGTTTAGGGTTTTGAGAGTTCAGGAGCAGGGTTGTAGACCTTTGTTGGGGGTGTCGGGTTTCGGCTTCGTGGTCGCTGTTGGAGGCTTGCCGTCTGCGTGTACCGCCCTTCTGTACTGAAAAGGGGAGCATGTCCCCCAAGAGCCACAAGCATGTTCCAAGTGTGGGGGCTCCGACAAGGAAAGTTCGAAACTGAAGAAGTCCTCCGAGGCCATTGCCTCCGCGCTTTCGCCCACCCAGTCCAAGCCCTCACGGCCACTGCTTGCAGTGCCCTGGCGTTGAGTTTAGTCGTATTGAGCTTTCCATAGGATATTAGGCACGCTTGCAAGAGTGCTTATTACTGACTGTGATTAAAGATTAGGGGCTTGAACACAGGCTCTTTTCGAGGTGGGGGACGAGGCGTGTACTGTACAAAATTTCGGGGTTATTGCTAACACAGCACACAATCTTCGCAAAGCACCGTAAGTTGTGGTTCGTTGATTGCAGTGGGCTTAGGATGAATGTTCTTTGTGAGCCGATGCTGAGCACATTGAACCTCTCTACTGTACCACAAACCCGCCTCGGCCCACCGCAGAAGCCTTCGAACCAAGATGCCCCGCACCTGAAAGGCCCCCAGTGTCCCATGCATACGTTCTACGCCCTGCAAGACTTCGATAATCCTTATGCAACCCTCTAAAGTTAAAGGCATTTTGTCTGAAGCCTCAAGGAGTCAGCCCTTCTTGCGGCACTGGAGATGCAGTCTCTTCGAGACGAATGGATGGTCTTTCAAACAAGATGCTGTAGTCCACAGGGTTTATGCGGTTTGTCGCGGTTGTCCACGGCTTCGGGGTTTTATCGGTTTTTATAACGGATCCAGAGGGCCTGTACCCGGCTGTTGTAAGGGTGTTGTAAGTCTTAAATGGTTAGTAAGGGCTTTACAAGGGTTACTGCGTTGATTCTTCCAGATGAGAGCAGGCCCTACAGCTGAAGGGCTCTTAAGGGTTGAGTGTCCAGCGGTTGAGGTCAGGTTTCAGGGTTCGGTGTGTAAGATTTCAGTGACATGCCGGAAACGAGGTTCAAGGTGGCCAGGGGCTTGGTAGACCGGCTCTACCTACCAGGTATTCCAGCCGTAGCTAGGCAGCTAGGCGGAAAAGGGCCCGCACAAAAAGCACAAAAACTGAACCATAAGCCCCAGAACTTGAAACCTGAACCCAAAATCCCAAACCCTTAGCCAGCTTTCTGGAGACAGGATGGGCAGTCACGAAAATAATGAGCTCAAACAAAATCTCAGCCAAGTCCCGAACTCCACACCTATCCCTCCCTCCCAAGGTTTCCACGAGAGGTCGAGGCTCCTTTGGTGAGCGATTTGGTCGTGAGGGGCCTCAGCCCTCCGGCTCGTCATTGCCCGGTGCGAACAGCCGGGCTACCGGCGATGTACAAAAGTGCCGGTATAGTACTCGCGAATGAGAATACCTTCCACACTTGACAGTTGTCCAACTCTTGAAGAAATAGTAGTGTCCTCCCGGCGGAAGCGATTCGGTAATTAATCAACGCAGTCTTGAAGATCCTTTGGGTGAATTCTCGCGGTTAAATGAGGAAGAATCCGTTCGCTAAGTCTGTGCTGCGAACAGTGCATTCTCGGGCCTTCAGGGATCCGAGTTGTGGTCAACGGATCGGGTCGGGCTTCAGGCTTGCAAGTTCAGACTTCTCGGTTTCGGATGTTTGACAGGGCGGGGTCAGGCTTTAGGAATTGTTTGGGGTTTCGCAGGCGAGGTTCGAGGCTGCAGTGAAGTTTTAGTGTTCTTGTATGTTGTTTCGATGCTCTCTTCTATCGGTTTGGTGCAGGGTTTGAGTGTCGGGATCCCACTATCGTCAAGCAATTAACCTGTGAGCTTTCTGGGTTGGTCTTATCTTTACATAATCCCCCCAAAGGCCCACTAGTGAACTGGAGGAGTGCAAAACCCACCTGCCTTCGTACGCGGTAGACCCGCGACTCCCGCCACCCTCTGAGCTTTCGGTTTCCAAGGCAGTTGCGTAAGCTCCAGATGGCCGCTGGTTGCAGGATTGGCAGTGAGGCCGACTGGAAAAGTTGATGTTTAGGACCTGGGGCTTGTAGTGCTGATTGCGTTTCTGACTTACGTAAAAACCCCGGTTCAAGGCTCATAGTAGTCCCTACGCCAAAAACCTTTAGCTAACCCCTACGTAAACGTTTAGCTAACCAACACTTGATGCGACAGGAGGGGGGTTTGCCTAGCCTGGGGTCATGAAGAGGAACTCCCATATTCCTGGCCGTCAGCGAAGATTTCCCAGAAGAACCCCGACCCAGGCGACCGAGGTGCCAACTAGTGAAAAAACCCCTGAATGGCTCCTTGAGCAGGGATATTTTTAGTAGGGATCCGCATTATCTGACTAAACGCCTGAAAGGGGTCTCCTAATCAGGCCATGGCGCCAGCATGTGATGGAACATCTCTACCAGTCGTCTCGTAAACTGGCGAAGCATGGCGAAGCCGAAGCTCAGCAGTATAAAGTCCTAGATTAGATTGCAGGGTTACGATAAAGATGCCGGCAAGGGGTCTTCAATCAGAGCCATAGAAATCCTCAAGAGGCCCCAGAGGCTGAAGCCCCAAGTGTCCAGATCCTTTGCTACAGCTTTGAAATCCAAAAGCCCCCCAAGCCACAAGTTCTGCGGTCATACATCCTACAATACTTGCTAGAGACTCGCTGGTAAAGCTTCGGCTCCATAAGCACAAGTAGCGCGTTCGAGCCCTGATTGGCCATGCGTGCCTTGGGCAAGGTGCCTTTGTGCTTTGGCTGTGGCCAGCATCGCTCACCAGGGCACCAAGGCCTTTGGGCTTCAGAGATTCAGGGAGGACTACGAAAAGAAGGGTTCAGGCTTCAGGTGGTTTGTGTTTGTGGCTTGAAGTTGAGTTTGCGTCTTTGCAGATGTAGGATTGGAGGTTTTGCGAGTTGCCAGAACGAGGGAATGGCATGTGTGCGTCGCCGGGGCCGGGTGCAGTTTTGAACGCTGCGTAAGTTCGATGGTTGGATGGCACAATGTCTCATGGTCAGTGAGCGTGGCACTCCTGCGAGTTTGCCCCGAAATCTTGCAATCATCTTGCGAATCACCCTGCTTGGCAAGGAGGACCGGGCGGAAAAGCAAGCCTGGACACGCCGGGTGATCCCACAGTTGCGCGTGGTGCTCGAGGCACATCCGAAGTCCTTTCAGGTGCAGCAGCTCGTGGCCGAAGGCTGCTGTCTCCTCCTTCGTCACGGCCACGGGAATCTAGGTGGGTCACTGACCCAAAGAACCTGAGCCCAAATAGGCCACGGAAAAAGTTCGCCCCTTTGGCACTGCCACATTGCAGGAGGCCTAAGTAAGGGATTCCCTCCCTAAATAAGGCTCTTAACAGGCATCCTCGCGTAAAGGCCGTGAAAGATGGAGACCTTGAGCATTACGGAGGACCTTTGAGTACGTTAAGAACCCTGAGGTGGACTTTCGGCCCTGTGGCCTCTGCTTTGGCCTTTAGTGGTGCATCCCCGGCAGCAAGTGGCCACAGCTGCCTCCCTGGCGCTCTGCCGGCTGACTTGGTTTCTTTGTCACAGTTGGGTAACATTTTACATTTTTAAGGGTTTAGGGTTTAGGGTTTAGGGTACTTAAACCCAATAAGGAATATAAAATATACATTTTAATACTACCCCAACCATGAACTAGGTTTCTCCGAGCTGGTGGAGACTCTCAGGGTGAGGCGCAGGTTCCGACGGCGGAAAGGGCGATGCAAACGGCCTGCGCAGAGATTCTTGGAGGTAAGATTCCTCTTTTGGCTAGTTGGGATGTGACACCCACAAAGGGAATAGGAAGGACTAGTGCAACTTTCCAGAGAGGGTATCGGACGCCTGGCCTGAGGATTTCTAGCATCTTTACGAACTCGGTGGCCCCGCGCCTCACCGATCCTTGGTTGTCGTTTCATGCAACCTCTCAGATTCCTGTGAAGACCAAAAACCAAGTTTAGAACACCCCCGAAAATCCATGATCATGAATCTCCTCCACCCATGAAAGTCCACATGATTTAACCCTAAACCCTAAACCCTAAAAAACAAAAAAGAAAGTCCACGTGATTTAACGCCCAACGAGCCCTGGAGCTCTCAACGCCGTCGTTTGAAACCCTCGAGGATCCTGGCATCCACAGCGCGAGCTTGCAGTGCGTCCGACTCCTGGAGCTCCTGAGTAGCTGAGTGGATACACTTTACACTTTTTGGGAGAATATTACCTACTATAAAACTGAAAGTGTACACTTTTTGGGATAATATTACCTACTATAAGACTGAAAGTGTACACTTTTCTGGGCTTATGAACTCAGCATCTAAGGCTCCTGAGGGTCTTGGTTTTGTACAGCCGGAGCAGACCTTCCGAGGCTTCCGATCCTCAGACCCCAACTGACAGACGCAGTCTTATTTGGTTTTTGGTTTGTTTTGCGGGTATTCGGGGTTTTTTCGGGTTTGAGGATAATTAGTAGAGTTTCAGGGTGTTACTTGTAGGAATTGTAGGGGTTGTAGAAATTTAGGGTTTCGGGATTTCAGTAATGTAGCCTACATTACTCAGGTCTTGGTGAGGCTTGGTGCTGTAGTCGTTGAGAGATTTTGCCATCTGAACGGCTCCGGGGCGAGTGAGCGCACAGTCACGAGCGCCAAGGGTTCGCACGTGGCGGTCAAAGCTAAGATATCTTCAGCCGTTACCCCCCTGCAGCTTCAGCGCCCTCAACAGAAGCCGCAGTTCACAAAAATCGGAGCACCGCCACCCAGGGCCGCCGAGAACGTCGGGAGGCGGATGAGGCCTTGATCGTGTTGCCCCAAGCGAAGATCCTGGCAACGGTGGAGCTCCTCCTGACCTCCCTGACGCGGGAGACGTCGGTAGCTTCCCAGGTGCCGGAGGGCTCAGCCTAGAATCCATCAAGCCTCACCCTTGAGATAGCTTGAGCGGCCCAAAAACTTCTGTAGCTCTGTGTTTGACCGTTATTTTTTCTATAAAGGCCTTGAACACCAAGGTTAGATAACGCGAAACCCTTGAGTCCTGAGCGCTACAAAAGACTCTAAACGGCTAAGCTCGAACCCATGGAGCGCCTGAAGTCCTGAAGCCTTAAAGGTTTGGGGGTTTTAGGGTTTAGGGGGTTTAGGGGTTTAGGGGTTTAGGGTTTAGGGTTTAGGGTTTAGGGGTTTAGGGTTTAGGGTTTAGGGGTCAGGGCCGGGCGAGCTCCAATCAAGCCTGTGTAAAAAAGGGTTCAGGGTCTTATACTTGGTGTTAAAAGAGCCTTGAACACTTTTGCAACATCCTGGCATGGAAGGTGCTTTCTGCCAGCTCCCCTACGGGTCAGCTTGTCACCAAGGCGCTTGACTTGCTTACAGCCCTCCTCGACGCTCTGCCTTCAAATCGCCATCCTTCGCTTAGGGAAGCCCTAAACCCGCTCGGGGAATGGGTTTAGGGTTTAAGGTTTAGGAGAATCCCAAGAATAGGCCCTAATTATCCTAAACCCTACACCCGTTTAACTTCAAGGATGCCTCGAGCTTTGATCCGGACTAGTCCCTCTGTATGTTTTGCCTCAATACCATGCAGGCCCAACCCAGTGGAGCTTGGGGCTTCGGGTTTCCGGTTGGGGTTCAGGGTGCCGGGCTCAGGGAACTGTGGAGCCGCAGGCATTAGGTCCGCCTGGCAAGCCCTCCTTCTCGTCAGCCAACATACCCTGATATATAATATATAACATATACTTACACAAAAAAGCACAAGGTGTTTCTAAGCCATCAGACCCTAACCAAGCCCAGCACCCTGTCTAAACGACGACAACAACATCGACACAAGCCTAAACACCTTCGATACCCTGACTGACTTCAACGTAAGGATTTCGAACACGTAGCCCTAAACCCATGACACCTTGCCAGGCTTGTCCGAGTGTGAGTGTCAAAGCCCATGACACAGTCGAAGTCTTCCCGGAGTACTTAGAGGATCATGGGACTTAGTAAGTACGGTTATAAGTCCCTTAATTGGAGTTATATGTATAGTTACCTTCGGAAAAACCCTATCTACTGAGTCCCATGATGCTTTGAGTAGGCACAGCCGAGGACGTTTGCGGTACGGCCGCCTTGGTCTTCTCTGCCCAGCTTCGGCGCTTTCTGGAGTTGCTGTCGGACTGGCCGCTGGGATGGCGTTTTTGGGGGCTTTGGAAACTTGGGGCTTCCGGGTTACACAGTTTAGGGTTTAGGGTTTAGGGTTTGGGGTTTTCAGGAATTTCGGGCTTCCGGGTTATACAGTTTAGGAGTTTAGGGTTCAGGGTTTAGGGTTTAATTCTAGTTCGAAGATTGTCGCTACTTGCTTCATGCTTATGTTTCTGTCACTCCTCCGGTTGCATCCCTCCTTAAACGAGAGGCCTGCTATTGAGGCGTGCTCGCTGGCACGCAATGAAAAAGGGTTTTCAGGAGTCGGGTTGAGAGGTCTCCGCGGTTTTGCCTTTGGCAAAAAGCTTGGGTCTTTCGGTGGCTCGGTTGTTGAGGGCTTGGCGTCGTGCAAAAAAGTCTCAGTTTTGTTGTTTTAAGAAATTTGTGCGCTTCTGGGTTGAGCAATGAGGTGTTTCTTTATGGCTGCAGAGTCGTGGGACTTTAGAAACTTGTCGGGCTCACGGTGTGGGAAAGATTCTCGGGGCCTAGTTGTTAGTGTTCAAGCTTCCTCTGGGTCGAATGGAATGGCGTGGTTTGAACTGGGGGTGACAAGGGTAAAGTACCGGGTAAAGGTTATCTTCGGCTTCAGAGGCTTAGGGTGTTGGAGTGTGGGATTAGTCTCGTGGGTTTAGGGTGAAACAGCGCCGAGTGTTCTCTTGCTTGTCAAGTTGGAAGGGGTTACGTTCCCTGCTGGGGCTTGAACCGGTTGCGTAAGCTAGTCCTCATGTTGTCTTGTGGCGTAGGACCCCCCGCCATATTTTAAACTCAGTTGTGATAGCCCGAATCACGATGCGAATCACGCGCTGATCCTCTGAAGTTCCAAGCCAAATTGGGATGGACATGCACTGTTTCAAGCATTAGCCGCCCTCCCAGGAACTGTCGTCGAAGTAGCATCAGCGAGGCAAACAACCTCTTCTCTAGTTCCTCCAATGTGGGGCTGAGGTTCTTACCACGGCGAAGCCTAGGAACAAGCTTACACTAACAGAGAACCCACAACACTCCACCAAGAAAAGCTTTGACAGGTCTCCGAAGGACCACATCGCTCACAGCAAGGTGGTTCTCAGCTTCGTGCTGAGCCTTGAGAGGACTTGAAAGCACTCGAAGCTCCTTCCTTTCCATGATGTTTGTCACGAGTTTTGATTGTCATGCTTCGAGCTGTGTCTGGGAGTCTGGAAGCTCAGCATTTTGGGACCTCAAGATTGCTTCCTGGGCTTTGGACACTGGCCCCGACCCGTACCTCCGGGTTCTTCTGCCTTGGTGGCACCCAGCGCTGGTACCTTTAAGAACTTCGTTTGACAAGGGGCAACGTACCAGATGGCCACCAGTTCTGATACAGTGGTTCCTCTGTAGCACACGCAAGCAATAATGATGTACTCGTCGTCGTGGTATGAGTAGCACATGACTGCAGTGGAGTCGTCCGGATGCCTGATAGGGACCAGTTGCATCTGAGCTGAGCTACCAGTAGCTTTCGGCAGCCCATGGGCCCCCTGGTATTACATCCGTGCATTCATTCAGCGCGTGATGGTGGTAGGACCGCCCCGGCCATCCTCCTTCGGAAGCCACTACTGAACCGGCTATGCCTCTATGCAATGGAGGCGCGCAGTAGCCCCCCCCTCCCAGAGAAGCTGAACTTCAAGGGCCCGGCCCTTTCGAAGACCAGAAGGTCTTTGAGCCTCCAGAGATCTGAAGCCACCAATGTCTCTGGGGTCTGTTTCAGATGAGAGTGTCGAAAGCTACAGGAGCTACAGGCGCTACAGGATCCTAAGCCCTCAACAAAGCTGGGTTCGGGTTCAGGGTGTCGTGGAAACTACATGGGTAGATGCCACGTCTCAACCTCCCCTGGAACCGAGATTGGTAGTATCAAGAATGACAACAGTAGCCTGGAGGCTCCCCTGAGCACCATCACTACGAAGCCCAGGGCAGGAAGCATCCCCAAAGCCAAAGCCTCAACAGAACCCCAGTCTAATCGCCACAAACCTCAACCCCAAAGCCAGAAACCCCAACCCCAAAGCCAGAAACCGGAACCCCAAAGCCACAAACCCCAACCCCAAAGCCAGGCTATGCAGCATGAGATCGGCCTCACCGGTCGAACTGCGAGCCAAAGTGCCCGCACGTCGCGCAAGAGGCACCTCGCACCCGAAACGGCAAGCAACAAGCCCCCAAACCCAAGGACCTAAGAAACGGGGCCAAGTAAACATTGGTGAAGAATGTCACCTTATAGCCCCGAAATTTTTTATGCCATAGAATACCACCCCCTCCCAAGACCCAGATTCATTCATGAAGGCCCCAGCGTGCTAAGCTGCTGAATCCTAGCCCGAAATCCACAGCCCCGAAGCCTGCATCCCGAAGCCTAGTCCCTGGGTTAGGGTTTAGGACTTCCCAGCTGATGATCAGAGCCTGGGTTCGAAAAACAAGGGTGCCCGAAGAAGACTCAGCACATGGAAGGAAGGCCGAAGTGCTGGAAGACGCCGCAGACTTCTGCCAGCCGCTGCTCCTTGACGGCCTGGGTTTTGAGAGGCTCTTAGTGGCTGCAAGAGTCGGAAGCATTCAGGGCTTTAGGCTCGCTTTAGGGGGCTGGGCCTTTGGGGGTTTGGGCTGTAAGACCTTGAGGTTGCAGTGGCTCCTGGGTGCTAGACACGGGTTTCTTAAGGTGGAGGGCGATGGTGGAGGGCGCCTCGGGGCTTTTGCTTCCGGGTCTGGGCAGGTTGTGGCGTTTGGAGGTGGGGACTTCTGAACCTCTTCGATCTTGAAGGGGTCCTGGCTAAGGGTGCCGGAGATATTGAGATGAGATGACCTTGAGACGTTGGGTTTGCCTGCGTTCCTTCAAAAGGAATGCCGCGTTGGAAAAGCTGCTGCAGCCCCACAAGCCCTAGCAGGCAGGTCTTTTGAAGTATAAACTTTACACTGCAAACTGGCAGCTATCATAAACCCAGAGCTTAAGCCTTCTTTTCGGACAGCCCTCACCTTGCTTTGTCTTGACATCCAGGTTTCCAGTGGCATGCCAGGCGCTAGCACGCCTTGTGGAGAGGGGCGCAGCACTGCTAGAGCAGCAGTTGGTGGCGAGCATCTGTGACTTGGGATCGTGGCTAAGAATTTGTGATGTGGGCTCAGCGGCATAGGCATGCCTTGCCCCTGCACGTTCGTGCCAAACGACATTCAACGACATCACCTGACAGACTTGGTGTTGTAGGAGCATACCCTACCTTGCCATGTGGAATAGCCCAGCGAGTTTTGTAATTCTAACGATGTCTTATTGGCTCGGCTGGCTAAGTTCTCTAGATCCTGCAAGCCCTGCAGCTGAGGTGAGCAGGTTGTGCACACTGTTTGGCACGGAGCTTTGCGGGCGCCTTCCACCGTCACCGGCAAAGAGCTGGACAGGTCATATGCCAAAGCTTGTGAAGACTGCTTCAGGGTTCAGTCTTTTTGTGACCCCTTGTGCCCTTAAGCTAAAAAAGCGGCTGAACCTAGGAAATGCATAAAGCTAAATCTTCAGAATCTGAAGCATCCTAAGAGTTGAACTAACCCTAAGGCCGGCAAAATTCCGAAGCTCTTGAAGCTCAATCCACCCTCCGCTGCCGCACTGATTTGTAATGTCCTAACTGTCCTAACCTCTTCTCCAATTTCAGGGTCTAGGGTCCATAAATCATAATGGTTGAGCGTTGAAACATCGTTGAACAAATTTTCCTTAGCCCCTAAACCCTAAACCCTAAACTAAACCCTAAACCCTGAACCCTCAACCCCAAACCCTAAACACTAAACCCTAAACCCTAAACCCCCCAAGAGAGCCCCAAAGCCAGGTGCCTGGTGTTCAAGCAGATCTGTCGGTCACCAGAGGCAGTGCTTGGGCTGCTTGAGGTGATGCTCGGCGGTAGTAGGAGGGTTCAGGGGTGCCCTATGGGGTGTCGGGCTTCGAGGGTTTAGGGGCTGATGGGTTCAGGGTTTAGGGTTTAGGGTTGTGTTGGGCCTTGTTCAGAGAACGGGTGCGACACGTCCAGGCGAGATTCACGCAAGCCTGTGCAAAAGGGTTTTAGGGTGCTAGGGTTCAGGGCAAAAGGGTTTAGGGCCTTTGGGATTTGGTGGTTTTGTGGATGTAGGTTTCGGGGATGCAGATTGGGGGTCGGCACGAGGCTTTGATGAGGATTTTAGGGCCTCAGCTGTCCGACTCCTCAAAGTTGCGGCACACATCTCAGGATCGAGGTGCTGGTCGAGCCCAGGCAGTTGGGTTCAAAGCCCTTGGCGCCAAGCTTGCTGAACGCCTTTGCGGCCATCCTTTCCACACTGCAGGGGGCCTTTGAGAGACACGCGCTGCAAAAGCCCAGCGATGATGCCATGACTGCTGGGGTTCGCACAAAGCTCGCTCAGCTCGCCGACACCATCCGCGTCGATCAGTTTCCGCGACCTGCGGAAGGCAAAGGGATCTCCATCTCCTGGCCGGATGCCTCAGCCCCGGAGAGCCCAAAGCTTCTTCCATCTGCGGAGCCTTTCGGCGCGACGCCCCGAAGTCACAAAGAAACGACGAGGGAGGCGATGCCCAGCCTCCCAACCCCAGAGAAGCTGCCGACGAAGGCGCCCCATTGCTTTTTGCTGCAGTTCGGGGTTCTCAGAACGTTTTTCGGATTTGGTTTCTGAGAAAGCCTATCCCGTCAGTTGAGGCAGAAGTTCACAAGTAGAGCCTTCCCTGATGCGACCCAAACATCCCAAAGCCCTGCACCCGAAGCCCTAAACCCCTGAAGTTGCCTGGGTTGTTGTGAGCAGGGAATGCTCTCCTGTAGCGTGGGGTTTCGCGCGGTCCGACATAGCTGGGAGATGCGCCTGCATCGTGCGAGGATGCGAGCCGAAACCCCCTGCAGAGGCCCCGGTCGTGGAAGAGCCCATGGAGGTGGACGCGGCGGAAACTTCCGCGGACGCACCGGCAGCCACCGCAACACCCGAGGTGGTCCGGTCCACCAAGGAAGTCCAAGAGTCTTTGTCAGTTTAGGGTTTAGGGTTTAGGGTTTAGGGTTTAGGGTAGGCTTCAGCTTCTTTTGGGTTTATTTATTTGGTGTTCAAGATTGCAACAGCGATGCCTGGATTCTCTTAGCGCCGCAGTTTCATTCTCATGAGGTCTGCTAGGTTCTGGCTACTAGAAATCCAAGTTGGTTGGTCAGTTTGACGATTCGGATTTGACGAAATATCTGCATAGTTCGGCCTTGGCGGAGTCTAGACTCTACGGCTTCGACTGCAATCTGCAAATCTGAACCCCGATGCCTAGCTTCGAGTTTCCCGAGCTTGAAAGTCCAAACCTGTTAGCCCTGAAGTCCTTAAACGGTCAGCTGGGCGGGTGGGAAAAAACAGCCTGAAGCCTCGAACCCTAAGCTCTGATGCCCTGCAGCCTTGCACAGTCTCCCACCAAACGCCCAGGAAAAGGAGATCTCAGTAGACTCCTCGGTAGACACCTTCCAGGACACTGGGCTCTGTTTCCCAAGGCATCGACATTGGTTTAGGTTTAGTGTTCGGGGTGCAGGGTTAAGGGTTTAGCTTCCAGGGGTTAGTTAAGTATAGGGCCAAACGGGGCCTCAAAGACAGCTGAAAGCAGAGGGTTCATATCACATGGGGGTCAGAAGTGAAATCCACGGTCAGAAGTGAAATCCATGGCCATCCAACAAACCCTAAAGGCGTAAACCAAAAAGCCGGAACCCGCAAGAGCAAAGGTGCGTAACCTATGCATGTGTGTGTATATATATATATATATACATACACACACACACACACACACACAAACACACATATATATAAATAACCACGGAAAGAGCACCAAGTCAGGACACCTTGGAGGAAGATGCCGGGCCGGAGGTCTCTGAGGAGAAAGGCGAGGACCCCGTCACTGCAGCGGTCCTCCCGGTGGGCGCAAGAGAGGAAGAGGAGGCAAAGCCCGGGGTTGCTGGGAGTCAGAAAGGGTTTAGGATTTAGGGTTTAGGGTTTAGGGTTCCGGGCGAGAGAAGCCTGCTGCAAAAGGGTTTAGGGGTTTGGGTGAAGGCTGGCAGTGTATTTTTGTTTTCTTTTTGTTTTTGCCCACCTGTCTTCTTGTTGGTCTGGAGCTCTTTGGACAGATTTGGGGCCCGTATAACTTTGATCTCTATACCTTCATCCAGAAGGACCCCACAACACAATGACAAACATCGGTTCCTCAAGCAGAGGCGGCGCCTTCGAGTGGCGTGCAGGAAGAGGTCTTCTCGACGCCCATGAATGCTGTGCAAAGGGAAGACTTCCAGACGCCCCTGAACTCTGTGACGGCGCAGGAGGTCACAGAGGCTCATTGGACAAAGAGGTTCACGAGTCGTGAGTTGCGGGGTGTCGGAGGTCGAGAACAGCTTCGCATTGGGTTTCTGATGGCTCACGTCTTTTTTGTTACCAAATTCGTAGTTCGATTCGTGCAGAACACTCCTGTGATTGTAGTGTGGGATTTCTGTGTCGACAAATGCTGCTTCAATCTGTGCACGGGCCTACATTACGCAGCAGGCGTGGTGCCAGTCGACAACTCAAGACCCACAGTCTAAGCACACACACACACACACACATGCTCGGCCATGGGCCTGAACCCCACCTTATAAGTGTCAGAGTGAAGGGGACCCCTAGTTGCATACTTAAAGCGAAGTTGTGAATTGTGAAGCTTCCCAGGCCGCCCGCACCCGGCTTGGTTCCACGAAGCGGGGGGTTTAACCTCTAGAGCAATGATGCTTTGTGAACAGGGACGTCAACGCAGCACCATCCCAAGCTTCCTTCGCAGGCGAATTTTCCTGACACCGTCCCGGCACTTCCAGAGGAAGTACCCGCCGCTTCCTCTGGCGACGGAGATGCCAAGGCAGCTGGGTAGCCTGTGTTGTAGCCATGACAGGAAGTAGGTTACGAAAACTTGATGAAAGTTACAACGTACCTACCCTTCCCAGTGACGGACCAAGTACCAGGGGCACTGTCTGTCTCTCTCTCTCTCTGTTTCTTCCTTGGTTTCTTCGTACTATTCATTCATTCATTCATTCATTCATTCATTCATTCATTCATTCATTCATTCATTCATTCAGGTTCCTTCATTCATTAGTTCTTTACGTTATTTAAATTTTATATTTATTTTTCTATTTCGCTCTTTCTCTCTCCCTCTCTGTCTCTTTTGCCTGTCCCTCCCTATCAGTCTTTCTCTCTTTCCCTCTCACTCATTCTCTTCCAGTGTCTCGGTAGGTCCGGTAGGTACAAGGCATCCAATTGCAAATGCGTGGAATGAGGTATGGTATGAACATGCGCACATACATGTGTCTGACACGTGTGCGCATGCGCATGCGCATGCGCATGCGGATTTTTTGCAGATTTGCACACGCATTATGATTCTGCGGCTGTGCTTGACACCGTGGTTTATATGCAAGAAAGTATTACATATTCATTTTATGAAAGTTAGACATAATGTAGTGGAATCTCCTAGAACCTAATGCAATGTACCGAAACCCTCATGCATACATTGGCATACATGCCAGCCCTAGCCGGCAGTAATTGGGCTACAGCCACCCCACCCCCCCCCTACACCAGGCAGTAGTTCAGGGCTAAGGATTGAAGTTGTGGAGCTTGTGCTGCATTTCCGACTTACGGAACAAAATCATAGTTTCTGGCCTGAAGTCCAAAGTGCATGGGCTTGGGGCACCGGAAGCCTAAGAGCTCTCTAGGCTGACCGGGTCTTGAGCCTTCAAAACTACCAGTCAGAAAGTCACAGATCCGAAACCCTGAGCCCTACCGTAGTATTGGGGAGCCATGCGCATGGTACCTCCGAGGTTGGTGACGACGGGAAGTTGGAGCTTTTCCCCGCCGAAGGATTCCCAGCCTGCTGTCGGTGAACTCCAAGCAACCCTAGTCTCAGGTTCAGCGTTCAGGGTCGTGTTTGTTGAGGCAGACAGCCTTGCTTGGCATGAGGTTTAGATTTTGCGATCGGGGTACTGTGTGTTTAGGATTGAGGAGTTTAGGGTTTCAATGCAGATAAGGCTCGGACTGTATTCGTCTTTGTAGGTCTGTCTGTAGAGTCTTACAAGGGTTGGCCCCCCTTTTTCAACCCAGCCTCAAACCCTGCATTACTCGTAGCTATCAGGACTGCTCCATCCGGCTCAGGCAAGAGTCGCAACCCAGCCCAAGTGTTTCATCAGATGCGACGTTATTAGATGGGAAACCCTAGCAGGCAGCTTATGGCCTCAAGCTGAAGAGCCCCGCGAGGACATGATTCGCCATCGCCGGACTTGTGTATGGACTCCCCAAGTGACGAGAACTGAGGGGCACTGGGACTCCGAGGTTTGGAGGCGATGGTTGAAGAGAGGGCGCTGGTCAGGGCTATAGAGATTCAGTAATTAGTATGCCGTATTCCCTTCCTGGAACCACGTAGTGGTATCGGGTTTAGAGAACCGGGGGCCTAGGGCCTTGCCTGGTGCCATAGTTTCGCGCGACGCTGGCAAGGCTGCGAAAAAAGGGACGCGTTGCCTTCACCATGTGTTCGTGCAGTTTGGAAGAACCCTATCCGGAGTTTGTGGGCGGCAAGAATGCGGCCCGTAGCCGTAGCCTCGTGCTTGCACGCCCCAGGACGGTGTAGCATCTTGAATCGCTGAAGTCTTAGGATACGACCCTCCCCTCAGAACAGAAAGGCTACATCCGATATTTCCAAGCCCACCCTGAAGGATTGACCCTTCGCCTCTCTCAGCCTCCGGCCCTGTATAAACCCGCCTACATGCCACACCCGCCACGCAAAGCCCACTTCCTGCTTAATTAAGGATCTGGGTGGCGGAATGCAGGCCGCAAGTGCTCAGATCGGCATCGGCGGCGGGTGGCAGGGCTGAGCCAAATAGTGTTTCGTCCTAGTCTTTGTCTACGTCTGGCAGACTATGCGCCTAAGCCCCTAACCCTATAGACCCGACTTGCCAAAACGACCCTATAACCCCTTAACTTCCAATCGCTAAACCCTAAACCCTAAAGCCTAAAAGCCCTGGGCAAAAAACGCCCTAGCGAGCCTTAGGATCCTTAGCCGGGGCACCGCGCAACTCGGCAAAGGTGGGCCCTGTTGCTGCTGAGGGTTTCGGGGTGCAGGGCTTTTTGTTTTTTTTTTAATGGCAGAGTCTGGGTTCAAAAAGGGTTTAGGGGATTTTACGGTGCTGTATGACCTGAATTAAGCCCTGAACTAGGTTTGTAGGTTTTGGGCTGGAAGGGCTTTGGCGGTTGGAGATAGTCGACGGAACATCGATGCTTGGGCTATCGGGCTTCGCATTTGCGGTTGGATTGGGGGTTGAGCTGAAGGGGCTGCGGGCTTTGATGATGTGTGCTTGGGTTAGAGCTGAGGTGTCTGGGCTTTTTGTAGAGGATCAGTTGCTCAGTTGCTTGTGCCTTGGAAGTTCAGGACTTCTACCAAGTTTCAGAGCTCCAGTTCGGATCGCCAGATGTACAGAGATCCGGATCTTCGGGTGCCCATGACAGGGGTCCCGGTATGTGAGACTCGTATGACTATCTTGGGGTGTAACCATAGGTACAGACACACATGTATGTGTACATACATAGATGTGTATATATATATATATGTGTGTGAGTATGGTTCATACATATATGTGTACATATGCATGTTATATATATATAAGAGCACGTATATATATATATATACATGTATATATAGATACACATAAGTATGTAAGCATATGAATATAAATACCTGTATGTATATGTACATACGTGTGTGCATGTGTATACACACACATGCATGCATACACACATAAACACACACACACACTCATATATATATATATATATATGTATATATATGTATTATATGTATATATATATATACACATGTTAATATGCCAGCAAATGCATGGCCCCTTACGTGGGCATTGGGGGTCCTTGTGCAAGGCCGCAATAGGTAACCAGTGCTTAGCAGCTACATGCGAAGGGCTTTTCCAGTTTGTGAAATCCCGCACGCTGCGTTGGTTTCCTGTAGACTTTGCCACTACTTACCGATCATGCTGCGGCAATTGTCTTTGCGACGACGAATGTTTCCTTCGGGGAGTACTGTTGTCAATGTGGCTGCAAGCCTGAGCCCTCGAGAAAGGAGATCCATTCGATAAAACTGGAATCATACAAACAAGGTTAGCATGGCCCCGCGCCTGGATAATGTTCGCAAGCCAAGAAGTACCAAGTCCGAACCCGCCAGGCATCAGGAACCATTGTACTGCCCAGCCACCCGCTATTCAGGACCACAGGGCCATAGGGGTTCCACTCAGGTCGCCCGGGGATGTTCTGGTATTTCCGTGCAAGCCCTGAACCCTAAATCCTAAACCCTAAACCCCTAAACCCGTAAAGCCCTAAACCCCTAAACCCCTAAACCCTGAACCCTAAACCCCTGAGCCCTGGGTTGTAGGAGAACTCTGCCAGGTGTGGCGACGACCCTTCAGAAGTCTGAGCCCGACATGATCAAGGAGCCGAGTGCCGGGGTTTTGGTTCAGAAGGGGCTCTTAGGGTTTTGAAGGCCAGTTTTCGTAGGGCTCTGGGCTGTTGGGGTTTCAGGGTCGAGGGAGTTGAAGGTTTTTGGACTTTGCTTCTAGAGCTTTCGACAGTTGTTTGATGTAAGTAAGGGCTTTAGGATTTCACAGCTTATTCTAGTATTTATGGGGGACGGGTGGTTTGTTTTTGGAGGTTATCTGCCGAGGGTCCCTGGGACCAGAACCTGAGACTTCCCAGTCCCGCAAGGGGCCAGTTAGGGTTTAGGGTTTAGGGTTTAGGGTTTAGGGTTTAGGGTTTAGGGTTTAGGGTTCATTGCTTGAGACCTTTAGCAGGGCGCCGGGTTTATTCGGAGCCTAAGGCGTGGACTCAAGAGCGCAAGTTCTTCGCCGGAGCGTTCTCGACGGTTCACATTTTGCAGGTCGAGATCCGGTCATGGCGGATGTTCAATCAGCTCAGCATTCGGAGCTATAGTTGTAGGTTTTTCAATATCCCTCGGGTAAAGCGTGCCCGTCATGGTAGTCCAAATCCCACACTGTGCTTGACTGCCTGCTGCAGCTCCCCTTGCCGACTCAATGGTACGCAGACATCGGAGCCCTTCAATGCACGACCTAGCTAAGGAGTATTCGAAAACCATGAGAGCCCCGAGCCAAAAACTCCGTAGGGTTCTTGCAGTCGTAGGGTCCTTCCAGTCTACGACAACGAGGCACTGGACCCTTTTACCTCCGGGGTTGGTTTGAAGATGAAGACTCGATGACCAGACCGCAGGCCTTAGACAAAGCGTTGGGGCTGGACCACCCGACGGACAAAGTCAAGCAGGACACTGACTTGGTTCCACTGTGCCGGTTGTTTTCGCATCAGGATCGATACAACGAGTCACTGTGTTCGAAAGTTGGCACATATAGATCTGGTGTCGAGAAAACCCCTACCTTGGGACGCCCCAGTACATGCAGGTCCGAGTAATTACTACAGTATTACTACTGTCACTCCTTAACCCTCCGTATTAAGCATACTCATAATATACCTTACTTTAAAGGGGCCTTAATATTATGATTTCAAGGGGCCTTAATATTATGAAATTAAGAGATGTTTCTTAATCTCGAGGTAGGAGGTAGGAGCCAGAAGCCCCCCAGCTTCCAACACCGAAGCCCCTCGAGGCGGCGCAGAAGATGGTCAACAAGAACGCAGAGGCCGGAGGGGGTGTGCAAGGGGGGGTGGGGGGTGTAGGGTTTAGGGTTTAGCTTAAAGTTTGAATCTGCGTACTGCCATTTTCGGGCCGCGGTTGAAGAACGGCAGCTGAGGCAATGCTGGCAGTCATCAAGTCCTGTTTCAAAAAAAAAATCAAAGTTTGACAGGGTCATGGGGTTTAAAGCTTGGTGTCCTAGTAGTGTAGAGTCCGCCGCAGTTCGGAGGGTTTAAGTCGGTTTAAGAGTTTAGGCTAGGGCTTAGGGGTTGAGCGTGTCGGGCTTAGCTTCATGTTGGGTCCCTGGGTTTGCCTTCATGGAGCACCGTTTTTGGAAATGTGGGGCCTCGGCATGTAGAGCTGCGGGTTATGGATATTTGGGGCAGCTGACTTTCTGAAAACACCGACCATCCCCGGAACCCTAAACCCTAAAACCTAAACCCTAATCCCTAAACCGCGCCCTGCATTCCAAAGCCTGCGGGATCCAAAGTCCGAGGTCCTTGCCTGCCGCAGGCCAGATCCGAGGACCCACCACAACCGCCAAACAAAAGCCGGAGCCTTGCACTCCGAAGCCCAACATGCTCCAAATCCCAAGCCTAAGCCCCATGTGGAAGAACAAGAATCCCAAGCCCCAGCAAAAGCCCGATTATAGACCCCCCCTTCAAAATCTGAGCCCGCGCCGCCCCGAAGCCCGAAACTCCCGCGGCGAGTCTCTGCACAAAACGACCAAGGCAGCGGCCGGCGGCTTAGTGGCGGCCGTGAGCAACTTCTCCAAGGCACTCAGCCAAGGCACGGCGCATTTAGGGCTTTTGGGTTTAGGGGTTTAGGGCACCTCAGTCCGTGCTGAAAAGGGTTTAGGGCTTTGGGGTTTGGGGTTTCGGGTTTAGGGCTTTTGGGTTTAGGGTTTAGGGCTTTTGGATTTGGGGGTTTAGGGTTTCTGTGTTCGGAAGGATTTAGGGTGTTGGGCTTAAAGTCTAAAGTTTCTAAAGGGATCTAGGATTCTAGGACTTAGCTTTTAGAGTTTAGGTTTTCAGGTGCAGCGTCTGCTGTTTCAGTTTTGCTGGGGGTTTGCCGTGGTTTGCGTCTTCCCCCAGTGTTTGGGAGTTCAGCTTTAAGGTGGGGATGTAGGGCTTGAGCTTGGTAGTTCTTGATGGAAGTGCAATTCGCCGGGCTTCGGACGTCGAGAATAGGCGCCAGCATGTTGCCAGTCGTAAGATGAGCAGGCGGAAGAAAAAAGCGTTGTGCAAGGCATGTAGACTTAGATACTTCCTCACAAGTGCATAAGATGGCGCGGCGAGTTATTTGGAGTTGGGTCCTTTGTCGTTTACCCACCCTAAACCCTGAACCCTAAACCCTAAGGTGCCCTTGGGACCCAACTTAAAGACTGCATGTCGGCGCTGCGCAACCGAAACTAGTCAGAGAACTCCACACAACCTTCAGAAACCCTGAAACCCTTTACCACAAACTGCTAACCGCAAGCTCTAATATTGTGAGCTGAAGTGTTTGAAATAACTATCTCCTCGGGTGTCGAAATACAAATCTAGCTTATCATATACTGCAGAACCGTACTGAAATCATCCAGACCCATCGCCCTGAAGCCGAAACCGGATCTGCTGTTCCAGGGGAGCTAGATGTTGCTGGCAACGTGAGCAGCGCTCTTGCGGCCGTCGGCAGGGGGCTAAGACGGGAGGGCTTACAAACCAGACATCAGGCCCGCTTGTTCTGGAAAACAAAAGCGATGATACCTTTTTGGGCTGGAAGTTTGGGATCTGGCCCCAGCTGTAGCAACAAAGCTGGATGATTCATAGGCTTTACGAGTCCTCGGATGGAATCTCCGGAATGCCCTCAGTGGTAGGGGCCGAAACTTCGAAACTCTACGCCATTCTACGCCCGAGGACCTTGAGGACAGGGGCGGAGGACTGTATGTTCTGGGCTGGCTCGTGTTTGTTTTCCCTCCCTAGGCTTCCATTATTTGTTGTAGAGATAGGACGTAGACGTAGCGACAGCGGAAGGGACAGGGCAATGTGCGCTGCAGCTCCTTCAAAAAACGATGAGATGTAGCACTAAAGAAATGGAACGGCCTTTTTCCCGCAACCCAACGAATCACGAACATCTCCGGGGCCCCAAACTTTCCGATTGCTCTCTTTGAGGCAGCGCTCTGGAGAACCAGAAGGACCCATTGGCAGGCACTTTCGGGACTTCGGTGTCTATAGCCTCGTCAACCTGAAACCGTAAATGCCCGAAGCCGCAGACCCCATACTGCGGTTTAGGGCCCTCCACCCTAGTCAACTCAGCCAAGACTCCAAGCCCAAAGCCGTGCGCAAGATTGAACTCTTTCAGAGCGAGTGGCGTGCAAGGTTGCATCCGCTGGTGCCTCCTCTTCGTGATTTAAGGACCACACGATGGTATCTTTATAGTTAGAACTTGTGCGAGTTACTTAAGTCCCTGTCATACTCAGCTTCCCAAGTCCCCACGATTTCACCCTGGAGGTTGTAGGGCTAAACTCTTGCATCCTCGAACTTTGCCAGTCGCTAGCCTTCAGTCTGAAACTCAAAACCCCTAACCCCTAAACCC